GCATGTCATTTATGAAACAAACAAACAACAACAGGCCCAATACACCGCTCTGTGGTACCCCGCTTATCACGGGTACACATGACGATTTCGTACCATTAACCCTTAGGCCCCGAGTGACGTTCCAGAACATCCGCCTATTTTCTCGCCATTATTTATTTATTTTATTTTTGTATTATTATTATTATTATTTTTGGAAAAGTTGATTTTTTTTCTCGATTTAACCCTGCGGGGGGAGTGGGGGTGTACTGCCAGCAGCACCCTAACCCTGGGCTTAAGGGTTAATCACCACACACTGTTTGCGATCATGCAGAAAGTCCTCAATCCACGCTAGGACACTTCTCCGATTCCCGTACCCTTCCAGTTTATTTCTCAGCCTTTCATGGGGTACGCTGTTGGAAGCCTTGGCAAAATCTAGGTATACAGTATATTGTTTATATTGCTGCCCTGTTCCAGAATTCGGGTCCAAACATTCAGTTCCTTGAGTAATTGTGTCAAGCAGGAGAGTCCCGGCATAAAACCGTGTTGACAGTCTTTTAGAAGGTTGTTTCGTAGTAGATGTTCCATCATGGCTTCTCTTATAATGCTCTCAAGTACTTTACATACTTTGCTGGTCAGGCTCACTGGTCTATAGTTATTTGTGGAGAGTTGGCTATAGAGTTATCAGGTCGGAAGAGAGGAGGAAAAGAGGGAGTGCAGCAGTTATTACAGATGTTTTTGGTTAACTTTTATCCTCTTCGCCACTGATCGGCTTGTTAGCCGCTTGGGCGATCGGTCACGTCTCTGATTACTTTTCCTTTTCATTTATCTTCTTCACCAAAAGATCGACTCGCTAGCCGCCCGGGCGATCGGTCACGTCTCTGTCACGCACTGTTGGCAAATACTGGGCAGTGGGCATGCACCGGCTCCTGAATGTACCTGAACCCGCTCCAGTGTTGGTCAAGTCTTGTCTTGAAAGAGCTCACACTCGGTGCCATCACAACACTCTCTGGTAGATTGTTCCAAGAGTTTACAACCCTCACTCCGAAAAAGTTTGCCCTCACTGTTTTCTGGACTGCGGCTTCTTCAATCTTGAGCTGTGACCCCTTGTGGGGCGAGCGTCCGCCAGCTCCAAGCAAGGACACTCGACTGAGTAGTGCCCCCTGAGATGCTTATACACCTCAACTAGGTCCCCCCTTGCCCGTCTGTAGTATAAGCTAGGCAAGTTCAGGCGCTCCAGTCTCTCAGGGTAGCTGAGGTGCCGAAGTGCAGGCACCAGTCTGGTGGCCCTTCTTTGAACATTTTCAACCATGGTCCATCTTACCCTAAGTTAGAACCAGTTTTACCCTAAATCCCTACATTTTACCCTTTTACGTATTGTTATGCCGAGGCATAATTTCGTATTATAATTTTGTAAACTAGGGCCGACCTGATCATCATCAAACTACGGGGGCCTCAACTGACGTCACTGTGGTTGATGGAGGGTTGGCTTTTTTCACACCTAATTTTTCCAACATTCGTGGCCTGAGATCCATTTTTTCTTTTGTGGAGCACCATCTATTAACCTCTTCCCCCGATCTCTTACTACTATCTGAACTTCAACTGACCAAAGCAACTTCACCCAAACATTTTCAAGTCTCCTACTACAACCTTTATATTTCTATGCGTTCTAAGGGAGGTGTATGCGCCTACTGCAACACACGTACACCTATAGCTCGACTCACGGATCTTGAATCTTCTCTTTATGATGATATGTGGCTCAAAATATCTCTACCATTTTTAATATTTTTTTTCCTCTTCTGTTCTCCCAACTTTACCAACTACAGTATTTGGAACCCCAACACCGCGATCCTTTACCTCGGGCATTTCAATGTACATCACAGAGAGTGGCTTGGCTCTGCAAGGGATGACCCAGGTGGAGCTGAGGCACTCTCTTTTTCCTTACTTAATGGTCTAGAACAAATAATTCACCACCCTACACGTGTTCCAGATCGATACGATCAACTTACTTGATCTTTGTTTTACCTCTAACCCTTCACAGTATTCATACTCAATTTCTGCCCCCTAAGGATCTTCTGATCACAATCTTATTTCTCTTAAATCAAACTGGGCACAACCAACTCCCCCACCCCCTCTAAACGCCAACTATAGTACTATCGGAGGGCAAACTGGTAATCCTTGCTAGAATTCTTCTCTAACTTTCCCTGGGATGAATGTTGCTTTTCCACTCAGGACGCCTCGGTATGTGCTGACAGCATTGCTGGGGTTTTACAGGGTAGTATGAGTGCATTTATCCCATCTTCCACCAAAACTTTCACTTTACAATCTTGGTTTGATCGCTCCTGTTCTCTTGCATGTAAGGAGAGAGATAAGGCATATCAAGTTACGAAACTATCTCCTCCTATTACTCACTCCTCTTTCATTACTTTTAGGAATCGTTGTAAGGCTATTTTTTTCGTAGGCCCAAGCGGAATTTTATAAAAAGAAAGACCACTAACCTGACTAACTCTTTTTCTAGTAAATCCTTCTGGTTAAGGACCAGAAGGACCTCTGTGGGCTACTCAGCGGCAAACAGCATTTGTAGGGGAGGAATCCACTACAATACTCCCCCTTCCCTCCAGGCGGTGTAGGAGACTTGTTGTCTGCAGGGTTGCATGGCACATGTGAGGCAGAACGGACAGTTCATGCCACATGTGAGACATAACGGCGAGGGCGTGGATGAGCCGGCCGCTAGTGGAGACAACTTTGTCTAGACACACGAGATCTGTGGAAGGAGAGAGGGAGAAGGAGCGTTGTGGAGGCGATGAATGTTGTGTTTCCCTCGCGGTAGGTACAGAGTCCTCAGATGCACCTGCTGGGGTGTGTGGGTCTGGTTCAGGAGCAGGGGCTGCATCAGGAAGAGGGTCTATGACAGCAGCAGGGTGCATGACAGCAGCAGGGTCCAAGACAGCAGCTGGATGCAGGACAGTAGCAAGGAGTACCTAAGGGAGAAAAAAAAGGGTGCGTGGGGCCGCACTCAGGCGCATGGGCCGCGTCGGGAGCAGGGTCCAGGACAGTGGCAGGGGGTACTGCTGGGCCGGGGGCGGCATCTGAGGCAGGACGGGTGTGCTGGGGTCGGTAGGACGTGGTGATTGGGGCAGGAAGAGGAGCTGGTGTCTGCTTAGAGAAGCAGTGCTGCTCTAGGGTGTCTAACCTGCGGTGTAGAGACAGTAGCTGTAGAGCCGATGAGAGCTGCCTCTGTATGGAAAAGCCAGTCTTCCATGTTGCTTGAAGACTGGGAGAGTTATCGGTTTCTCCTCCATCCTGTGTGAGTGCGAATCTCCGGTGGTCACCATTTGTAGGGTACGAGTTGTTGGGTTCACACTCAGGATGGGATGGAGAAAGGAAACGCACAATGTGCTCTCTGTATACATATGGTATTGGATGTACAGTGCTGCTTGGTGCTGGGAAGTGGCAGCGTGTTTACAAGCGTGATGTAGAGAGAGCTGGTTGGTGAGGATGTTCAGAGGAGGACCAGCTTGTGGGTCGCCATGCTCGCCGGCGGGAGCGAGGACCGCCAGGCAGGAGGAGGAGGAGGAGGTGCTGCTTGCTGGTTGGTGTAGGTAGAAAGAGAGGTAGGTCGGTCGGTCGGTGATACGGAGAGAAGGGAGCACTAGCTCTGAGGGTGCAAGAAGGGTACAGTACAAGGTAAAGTTCAGAAGTGGGAAATAGAGGAGGAGGTTAACAGCAGGTGGGCTATCCACCTTACGGAGACGGGTTTTTTGTCTTCCGTCAACAGTGCTGCATTAGAGGACTCATGCGGTTAGGGAAGACCGGTCTCAGCCAAGCTAAGCTAAGTTGTTCTATTTGATGTTTCCTTGGGGCATATTATGATAGGGGGTGGGGGGTCCCTCCAGGTCCTTGTGTGACTGGAGAGTTGTGCCCATCTTTTGGTTCTTTTTTATTGTGTATATAGAGGCTCTGGTTCTTCGTTATCAGTTTTTCTGCTTCTAGGCCACCATCTGTGCGATGTGTTGTTGTTTTCCTCAATTAGTTGGTTTAGTATGGGATCCTGTTCTTGCTGGATTTTTTTCCATATTGCATTTGCTTGGGTGTGTATTCTGGTGTTGAGTGGGTCTATGCCGTGTTCTGTGTGTATGTCTTGTGCTGTTTGTGTGTATGGTGGTTGGTGTTTTGCCGCTCTTCTGAGGGCTATATTTTGCACTGCTTGAAATTTAAGTTGATTTGTTCTTGCGATTGTGTTCAGAGGTATCGGAGGGTATTCTAAGTGTGGTCTGATCAGTGCTTTGTATAGGTGCAATTGCGTGTTGGTGTTTAATTGGCGGAATCTTCTGAGCTTTGTAAGTTGTGATTTTGCCATAGCTATTCTTTCATTGATGTGGGGGATTATTCCGTTTCTGGTTATCTTGAGTCCTAATATTTTTCCGTTGGCAGCATATGGTATTTGTTGGTTGTTGACAATAATAGGGTAGGGGTTTGTTTTTGCGATGTGAATTATTTTGAGTTTTTGGACATTGGTTTTTATCTTCCATTTTCGTTCATAGTTATTTATTATCTCTATTTCTCTGCTTGTTCTGATGGCCAAGCAGGTAGGTCACCACGAGGTCAGATCTTATATAGCGGAGGTAGGCGTGGCTTAAAAGTTGACCTCCATCATGTAAGGCGGTGTAGTTGACCTAGACCACGAGGCATACACTGGGGAATTCGCGGGGTCTCATTTGTTTAACTTACTTTAAGAACACAACGTATATATCTCTTCTCATTCTTGATTTTTTTCTTAATTCCTGTATTTATTTATGGTTAAATGTATTTACTTTTTGTCCTCCCCCCCCCCATGCAAGGACTATCACCATAAAAAATAAAAAAAATGAACAAATACACACCCATTATATCTACAATATTATGAATTCTGTGTTTAATAGTAACATTTAACATCACTTGGACACATAAAAAAAGGATGTAAAGGGACGTAAGAGATATGGGTGAAGGCGGGTCGCTGGCTGATGAACACCAAGAGGTAAACATTGTTATCTCTCGTCTCGCCCACGGACCACCCATTCTTTCCTTTTCCTTCTTAATTACGACAAAACACCTGCATTTGTCTTTAACACCTGCTGTATTTCTGAATCTACATGTAGGAATTTTATTTTATATACAAACTTTAACAACAACAGCAATAATACGTCGTCAGGTGGAGGTAAGATTACATAATGTTAGGAAACTGCCTGAGGTTGACCCTGAGGTAATCATGGCAGGCATGTTACTGATAAATGATAGTGTTTATTTATTTAGTAATTGTTTAGTCTATGCATGTGGCTGAACTGTTGTTTTAATTAAATTTGATGATATAAAATAATAGTTTAGTCAATGCATGTGGCTGACCTAAACTACTATTTTTGGTAAAGGGGAAGGAAAAGGTTATCACACAAGGAACTTGGAATTGGACCAAAATTTTGTTAATATATAAGACTAACCCGTGAGTGAGTTATTTTTATTACTGTTTATTTTATTTCAATATTTACATCAGTGAGTTCTGATATGAAAATCATTTATTGTGGAAATTGTTCGTTTCATAGATAATTAGGCGCCTAGGCATGCACTAGTTTATCTTCATGGCGGTAATGAGGCCGCGCTCTGCAACAATTCTATAAATTCTTTCTGATGATACTATAACCATTTCCTCCACGTTTACTCTATTTTTATAAATGCTGGGAAAAAGTCACAGAAATTTGTCACAGGACAAATGGTCCCAAGAAAAATGCTCACAGAGGTTAGGTCTAGTTCAGTTAGGTTTTCATTTTTGAACATGTAGAAAAATCCCAACCCAGCCCGGTGTCATCCCACTTGGACAATCGTCTGTTTCATGCAGTTTTCACCATCTTAGTTGAATGAGTTGAATGATCAGGTTAGGTCAGTTTAGGTTATGTTATGTTAGGTGACGTTAAATTGCATAAAACAGACAATCGTCCATGTGGGATGTAATTCCCAGCCCAGCCCAACACAACCCTATCTAACTTATTAATGGCTCTTAAATAAAATTGTGACATTTCCCTCGCCAAAATTGTGACTTTTTCTGTGAATTTATTTAGGGTGACCATTTTAACATACCGTACAGTACATTGGTGATACAAAGTAATAATCTAGTATATATGCATATGGCTAAACTGCTGTTTTAACAAACTTTGGTTTGTACAGGTACAGTAGTAGAAATAATTTAGCCTCAGAATGTGGCTAAACTGCTGTTCTAACAAACTTTACTTAATTGTGTTACATCAGCATTGTTCCAAATAATATTAAAGCATTTTGTGTTATGTACAGATGGTGTGGAGTAATGTTACGATAATGATTAGTCGACAACACTCAGTGTAGATAGTACAGTATAAATATATGTTTCGTAGTGTTCACATACACTGTACTGTGCACCGTAAGCATGTGTAGGAGTGTAATCAATTGATTGTGATACATTATTGTTTTCTTGTATAATCCACAGCATACTTTATTGAAGCTTTTCTCTGCCTCCTCATAACCACCGCTTATCATTGTAAAGCTTTTCCTGCATGATAACTGTTTATGGTGAGTAGTTTTTAGTAGGGTATACAGTACACATATTATCTTTAAAATGTCTCTCTCAAATAAAACATACAGTATAAGAAATGAGGTACACATGTCATTGGTCACACGTGAAATGTACAAACGGTATTTAGTTTCCATTCTTGTATGCTGCAACATATCAACATCAACCCTTGCAACAGCAGCAGCAATTCGGTTTTTTAAATTGTCAATGTTAGCCACTGGAGTTGTGTACATGCAGCCTTTTACATAAGTTGCCATAACCCCATAGAAAAAAGTCACAGGGTGTTATGTCTGGCTGGCCAAGAGTTGGTCCCCACTGCCAATCCACCAATTTTGGAAGCTCTTTTTAAGGTAATTTTGTCCCGGCAACTACAGGTTGGGTCCCGCTAATCCGGCACCCGACAGTCCGGCAGCTTCGATGGTTCAGGATGCATATAGTGAATACTTAATCTTGTGAGGAAAATTAGGATGCGTGCCACAACTACTAAAAGTCAACAGTAATGCTATAAAGTTGTGGAAAAAGCATTACAATTATTGCAATCTGTACTCAAATGTACTAAGTCAATTTCTAAAAATTTTATGTCTAGTGCAAACTATGAGATGTTTACACTCAGATTAATTGCAATCTTGCAAGGATTCCAGCAATGCAAGTTATATTCTGCTAAGTCGAGTCGGTGGCATTTTATAAGCAAAAAAGTTACACTCCCTGTCTTTTATCCCATGTCCCTCCTGACCCCTCAACTGATAACTACACACCCGTCCTGGTTGTCAACACCCCACCTCCCCCTCCCCCTTCCAGCCAGCAGGGGAGGCAGATGGCGGTGGGTGATAACGATTAATGGGATGAAGGTGGTTTTAGGCTTCACGTTCTTCTCTTATAAAGTGTCACAGACTCGACTTAGCAGAATATAACTTGCATTGCTGGAATCCTTGCAAGATAGCAATTAATCTGAGTGAAAACATCTCATAGTTTGCACTAGACATAATTTTTTTAGTACAGTAGTACCCCGATTTACGCGGTCAATTGAACCCACAGGGTACCGCGTTAAGTGAAATCCGCGTAAATGGAACAAAGAACATATGGGATTAATTCCAATAGAGACTGGCCCGACCCCCAAACTCCACTTTTTCCGACACAATACCTATGTTGTAGTAAAAATAACATCTAAATTTTATGATGGTATGCTCACACAATTAATATTTAAGAGAAATACAGTCGCCAGGTTAATGTCCATTCAAATAATGGACTCAAATCCCTCCCCCCCCTCTTCCCAGCTCACTGGCCCCTACCTCTCTGAGAAACATTGGGTGAAACACTAGATTTTAACTTTTAGTAATAAATAATACCTCAGACTAAAGTTAGGATAATATAATTGACATTTCTGGATTCCTTGCAGGTCAGGGAATATTTTGAATGTATTCATATATTTTGCACAAAAGATAAAATACTTGCTTTGTGTAAACCAAATTATTACAGTAGATCTAAAATTTGTATGTCTAATGCAAAATCCATGATGTTTATATTCAAAATGATCATCATATTGTAAGAATTCCAGCAATGTAAATTATATTCTGGTCCAGTAATTTGTATGAATTTTAAGAGCTAAAACAAATATCTTCAGTTAATAAAAAAAAAATATTCTTCACGACACTATCTGTCAATCAAAGTACCCCAACTTGCCTCCCCCCTCTTCCAACCGCACCAGATGGTCGGTCGGTCCCAACCCTCCCCCCCCACCCCCCACCTTCCCTCCCTGCCAGAGAAATGTTGGGTGAAAAAACTAATTTTAACTTTTAGTAACAAATAATACCTCAGACTAAAGTTAGGATAATATAATTGACATTGCTGGATTCCTTGTAAGACCAGGAACATTTTGAATATAAATGTCATATATTTTGCACAAAAGATAACATATTTACTCAGAGTAAACATTAGATCTAAAATTTGTATGTCTAATGCAAAATCTATGATGTTTATATTCAAAATGATCATCAAATTGTAAGAATTCCAGCAATGTAAATTATATTCTGGCCGGGTAATTTGTATGAATTTTATGAGCTAAAACAAATATCTTCAGTTAATAAAAAAAAATATTCTTCACACCGTGCCAGATGGTCCCTCCCTACCAGATAAATGTGTGGGAAAACCAGAATATTTACCTTTTTAGTAATAAATAACACCTCAGGCTAAAGTTAGGATAATATAATTGACATTGCTGGATTCCTGGTAAGACCAGGAATATTTTGAATATGAATGTCATATATTTTGCACAAAAGATAACATATTTACTCAGAGTAAACATTACATCTAAAATTTGTATGTCTGATGCAAAATCGATGATGTTTATATTCAAAATGATCATTAAATTGTAAGAATTCCAGCAATGGAAATTATATTCTGGCTGGGTAATTTGTATGAATTTTATGAGCTAAATAAAAAGAAAAATTATACTTCACTCGTATATGGGTAGATGAACCGCGTAAAGTGAAAGTTCGGTTCTGGCGAGGCACCGCATATATGAGAAATCGCGTAAAGTGAAACCGCGTAAAGCGGGGTACAACTGTAATTAACTTAGTACATTTGGGTACAAAGTGAGTACAGTAATATGTTGCTCAAAATTATGGCATTTTCACAGGGAAAAGTCTGTATACAGTAACTAATCCCAGTAGTCAGGATATTATGTCACTGAATGTTACAGAGTATTTCAAATTATTTGGGTTTTATAGAATAAATAAAAAGAGATTCTTTAGCCATATACAGTAGTAAGGAATGGGAGGTTAACGGGAAAGATATTAATAGGTAAAATTGAGGGTCGAAGGGCCAGGGGGAGCCTTAGACTGGGAAGGATTATTGATAGTAAATGCTAGGACCTGGAGAGTGTAAAATCTGAGAGGATAAAGGAAGTCTGAAAACATTTGGAGTGGAAGACCATGGCCACTAACTCCCAGACATAAGGATGACACATTGTCTGATTGATTGAGATAGGTACTGTACATATAAAATGGAAATATATACACAAAAATGCAAATAAACCTTAATAAAATATGTAATGTTTTAAATTAATATACAGTACTGTATAGGACAAAATTCCTTTAAATTTATATACTGTACTGTACTTCATGAAAGACAAAAATCAATTGTAATTTAGATTGATCTCTTCTATCAGGTGCGGTGATGGAGAGTCAAGGAGGTAATTATTTATTTAACAATGTTGACCAACAACAACCAGAATGGGCAAGAGATCGACCAATAACCTTTGAAGATCTTGGAATACCCAGGTCTCAGTCAACACGGGCCACAGTTTTTGGTAATGTATGTATAAATGTTTTCTTACCAGTTTACCATTAATGATGGGTCTCTCACATTTGTTGTTAATACAGTACAGGGGGTCTCCGGGTTACGAACGGGTTCCGATCCTGAGGACATTCTTAGTCAGATTTGTACGTAAGTTGAAACACATGCTATGTGCATACTTTACTTACAAAACAATGTTTAAAATCCCACTAAATCATAGCCTAAGTCCTTATATACATCTAAAATCACTTAATTTAAGACAAAAGAAGAAATAGAATGACAAAATACAGTAAATGAAAGTAAATTATAATTCATCAGGTAAATAAAATACCGTAAATTTCAAGTTTAACCCCGTTTGTATCAGTATTCGTTCGTAAGTTGGACGTCCGTAAGTCGGGGACCTTCTATACAGTACTGTATTGCTTTTTATCACTTACATTTTCTCAAATATTGTATCGACAAGATAGCTTAAATATTAGTGAAGAAATTTTTGATAGAACAAATGTAGAAATAAGTGGAGGTTATGTGCACCTTATGTGGAACAAGAATCTTTTATGTGTTATTTATTTATATTCTTGATACTGTCATCAGTCAATTTATAGTAGAAGACATAATTAGATATAGTTTTTTGTTTTGTCTAATGATAATTTCAGACAAAACAAACGATTCTCTTCTATGACACTTTTGGTGCATTTTACCCATAACCCAAATATCATGGGTGGAAAATCAGAAAACAACGGCATTCCCTCACTTTTGCCTCTGTGACAGCTGAGCACTTTAAATATTTTTTTTATGCGTAAGTTCTGCTCTATTCTTCAATGCAGAGGAGGGGGTCAATAACAATACAACATTCTGTGTTTAAATGTATAGAAACTCACTCTCTTCTCTTGCTGTGACTTCATCAGCTATGTAATTTTCAGATTTAACTTTGATTAGTTTGATAACATTACTGATTTTGATACTTTTTATCCCAGACAGGCCAGAAGATGGCTATTGTAGACTAAAACATTTACCTATATGTAAATAAGTTCCATACCATTTGTAAACATTTGTGTGTTTGTGTGACTCCATTTATATTGGGTATTTATTTGACATCCTCAGATACGAACCTGCCAGAGTCTCTGTTTGTTGGAATGGGTCCTACTTATGGGAGGTTTAATGTCAACGCTCATTACAATTGGTTTAGCAGTGTACAGGCTGTTCTTCTTATCTCCAGGAACACCTGACTATGTATTTGCAATGTTGATCATATTTCACTCAGGTAAGGTTTATGATTTTATTCACCCATATCCATATGTTCTGTACAGTAATTAAATATATTTTGTTGAGTTTTTCAGAGCTGTGAAAGCATTAAGTTAATTAAGTGATGAATCAACATTTACCCAAGAAGAATGAAGAAAAAAATCAGACTTTTGGAAGTTACTGAGGCTTGTTTGTAAGTCCATTTGTTCATAAGTCCAACATTACTCCTGCTGATACCAAACATGTTGTACATCACATTACCCTACAGCAGTGGTCCCCAACCTTTGGTAGGCTCAGGGCCATATTTGTCATTGTAAATATAGTGGAGGGCGCCAAAACTTTGGAACTAAATTCAATATAAAAAATAAATCACATACAGTATACAGCAGTGGTGTCAAACTCAAAATCTTTTGAGGGCCAATTCTTATTTTAGTTACCCTCTTGCCAACACAAGTGCTATATCACATATTTGCAAGAGTGAAGTTTACAGGTTCACACATTGCCTTACCTGGCTTACCAGGAATACCTCATTTGGGTTTGTCTTATCTTAAGTTTGTAAAATTAATTTTACTTAAATATAATTAATGCTAATAATAGGATAGCAAAATGCATATACAGTATATGCATTATTTTGGGGCTACAATTTATTATACAATTCCATTGGTGTTTTGAAACTTAAGAGCTCAATCTTGTTATGACAGTTATGATATGTACATGAAGAACAAGAACTATCATGCAACTCACAACTTTGACCTCATTTTCCACTGCACCACAAGAGTTTTTCTTCCACAAGTTTTTCAATATTGGCTGCAAAGGTTGTATTCTGAGTCGGAGGATAGCATCCAAGTGCTTCAGTAATGCGGGTTCGGTACATAAGATTAATTTATCTTCATCCGAGAGAATAACTGTTCACACCCATAAGTACTTCCAAACTGAACAGCCTAAAAGCACTTATTGTAATGAATGTGTGGTAATGGCTGGGGCTTCGTTTTTTAATTCTTTAGTGTTTTCGATTTATAATCATTTTCCCTTTACAATAGTGTTATTACTAGCATTAACAATATAAATTCAATTATTGCCACAATGATGTAAAGATCATTTTGGAATTTACTGACTCATTCATATCTGCATTTTTTCCTTCATATCTACTTCTGTCATAATTTCACGGGTTGATAAATTTTACCGTCATCCCGTAGGCCACACCTGACCATTCCAAGGGCCACATTTGGCCCGCGGCCATGAGTATGACACCCCTGGTATACAGTTATCTGCAGTTTTACACAAGTCTAACTGTTCAACTGTTACCAGTTACATACATTTTACATTTACTCTTGGTTCATGCTAGCTCTCTCTGGCCCCAGTCTGTGGTAAATACAAACATCCTATACACGACAGATTCAGGACAAACGGGGTTCCTCTCTAAAGTCGTGTCATGTTATTATATGTTTTCATTATTTTCACTGACAGAGATTCCCATTTATTTCACAATTTTCTAATAAATTCTTGCAGGCTCCATGATATGGTTCCACAGGTGCCATGGTGACCTCGAACTACAGGTTGGGGACCACTGCCCTACAGTATATATTACCAGCCTTTAGCAGTATTTTAATGTATTAAGAGACTTTATATTAATTTTGTACTTGCGACTTGCAGTTCAAACAATCATTTAGACATATGGACAAGTTTGTTTGTATTTCTGAAAGTTTGTAAGCCAATTGTTTGTGAGTAGAAAAGCACCTGTATACCAGCATAAAGATGTTGGACATGTTTTTGTGTGAAGATGATTAAATAGAATTTTTGGATATTTTGACAATTAGGAATCAGGAGCTTATTACACATGATGATAAAATACCCTCATGCCAGGGATGTGATTTCTCCTTTTTTTTCTTGTTTTCTGGCTTTTTTCCATTGTTTTAGGCGACCCACGTAAATTGCGTAGATCTGTTGAGAAAAATTGGGTTGGGGGGGGGGGTGCGTGGTAGGACCATGACGAGAGAAATGTATTGCATTTTATGCATTCCATTCTTTGATTCTTTAGTATTTCATTGACCAAAGATCAATGATGTAATGCAATGCCACTATAAGAAGCATTATAATATGCTCCTCCGCCGTATCCACTTGATTCACCCTCGTGGGGGAGGGGCTAAGCATTTTTCAATATAACTAAGTTTCTTCAATCATTTTACCCCTTCTGATGATCTCACTTTATTCTATAACCCATGTCTTATTTCATAGTTGTATAGGCAACTCGGTAGGGCGTGTTTATGTCCCTCAGGAGGTCAGGGCTGTAGGGCGTGTGTGTCCCCCAGGAGGTCAGGGCTGTAGGGCATGTGTGTGTGTCCCCCAGGGGGTCAGGGCTGTAGGGCAAGTGTGTGTGTCCCCAGGAGGTCAGGGCTGCAGGGCAAGTCAGTGTCCCCTGGAGGTCATGGCTGTAGGTCAAGTCTGTGTCCCCAGGAGGTCAGGGGTTGTAGGGCAGGTGTGTGTGTGTGTGTCCCCAGGGTCAGGGCTGTAGGGCATGTGTGTGTGTGTGTGTCCTGAGGAGGTCAGGGCTGTAGGGCATGTGTGTGTGTGTGTCCCCAGGAGGTCAGGGCTGTAAGGTCAGGGCTGTAGGGCATGTGTGTGTGTCCCCCAGGAGGTCAGGGCTGTAAGGGCATGTGTGTGTGTGTCCCCCAGGAGGTCAGGGCTGTAGGGCATGTGTGTGTGTTCCCCAGGAGGTCAGGTCAGGGCTGTAGGGCATGTGTTGTGTGTCCCTCAGGAGGTCAGGGCTGTAAGGCATGTGTGTGTGTGTGCAGGAGGTCAGGGCTGTAGGACATGTGTGTGTCCCCCAGAGGATCAGGGCTGTAAGGCATGAGTGTGTGTGGGAGGTCAGGGCTGTAGGGCATGTGTGTGTGTCCCCCAGGGGGTCAGGGCTGTAGGACATGTGTGTGTGTCCCCCAGAGGATCAGGGCTGTAAGGCATGAGTGTGCGTGTCCCCAGGAGGTCAGGGCTGTAGGACATGTGTGTGTGTCCCCCAGAGGATCAGGGCTGTAAGGCATGAGTGTGTGTGTCCCCAGGAGGTCAGGGCTGTAGGACATGTGTGTGTGTGTCCCAGGAGGGAGATCCTATGATGTGTAAGAACATAAAACTCTTCAGCAGTAGGTACAGAAGCATGTTAAGGCAGAAAAGGTTGCAGCAGGAAGAAAATAAGAGGAAATTTTTGTTAAAGAAACAGTTAGAATCAAAGAAAACAGAGTATGAGAAAATGGCTCAAAAATCAAGGAAGAGCAGAGATGCCTTCCAGCAACAAAAACAGAAGCCTTTATTCTCCCTAAAAAAACAGCTGAAGCAATTAAAACTAAGAATAAAACAAAACCAAATGAGTGACTATTATCTGGGAAAGAAACCTAAATATTTTGTTTGTATATACCGTGGAACATGGTTATTTTTCTTATTTTAGTATTACAAATGAGGCGCATTACACGGGGGTAAAGCGCCACCCCGGGCAAAATGCGTTTTTTGATGGATATCACTATTTTCACCCTTCCTCTACATATTGGTGTTGGATGTAACCCCCTAGGTAGACTAGAAATATGGTTGAAAGTCCTTAAAAAATAGGGTGTCATTTTGCCTCGGGCCAGGAGCTACGTATCTGGCTGTGCGCTCAGTAAGTAAATGTGGTCACCTCCTGTTCAGAGTGAGAGGAGAGCGAGCCAAAGACAGCAGTCATCCCGCGGACCATACCCTCTGAATCAGCCAATCACAATGGATTTCCCTTGCTACGTCACAGCTCCTCTGCCAATCCGCGCTCCCAGATGCTGCCTCCCTGTTAGTCTTGCCTCGCTACATAGCATAAGGCGATTCAGTGTTTCTACTGCTATTTTGGATAACTTTTCGGTGTACCATGGACTTTATTTGTGTTCCACGGGTGTGAGAAGTGCTATGCACTGTCTGGCCAATTTTAGAGCAAGATTCGAGTGAGGCTGGGCCTTCTGGTGTGGGTTCAGGGGCCCTAAATCCTGAGCGTGTGTCTAGTTACAACAGTGCTCACGTGGACACCCCAGCCATGCTTGGTGATAGTGATTTTGGTGGTGAATTTTGTGGTGATTATGGTGATGCAAGTGCTACTGGCGATGGTGATGGCCAGGATTTACGTAACTTCAACTTACTATGATCGTCAGGGATAATAAAACGAAGGAACTAAACAAAGTAAGATTGTACAGTTTTACCCGCCCTAACGCGGTTTCACTTAACGCGTTTTCATATACGCGGTGCCTTGCCAAAGCTGAACTTTCACTTAACGCGGATTTTTTCCACATATACGCGGTGAGTGTCCGAGACGCTATTTTTAGATTTGCCCCACCCGCCACCCTGCCTGACTGCCTGTTTTAGCTCATAAAATTCATACAAATTACCAGGCCAGAATATAATTTACATTGCTGGAATTCTTATAATTTGGTGATCATTTTGAATATAAACATCATATATTTTGCTTTAAACTTACAATTTTTAGATAAAAATTTTTCTCTAGGTAACTATGGTATCTTTTGTGCAAAATATATGACATTTATATTCAAAATATTCCTGGTCTTACAAGGAATCCAGCAATGTCAATTATATTATCCTAACTTTAATCTGAGGTATTATTTAATACTAAATGTTAAAAACTCTGGAAGGGAGGATTGGTGGGGGGTGGGGGGGAGGGTTGGGACTGACCGCGCGGTTGGAAGAGGGGGGGAGGCAAGGTGGGGTACTTTGATTGACAGATAGTGTCGTGAAGATTATTTTTTTTTTTATTAACTGAAGATATTTGTTTTAGCTCATAAAATTCATACAAATTACCCGGTCAGAATATAATTTACATTGCTGGAATTCTTATAATTTGGTGATCATTTTGAATATAAACATCATATATTTTGCTTTAAACTTACAATTTTTAGATAAAAATTTTTCTCTAGGTAACTATGTTATCTTTTGTGCAAAATATATGACATTTATATTCAAAATATTCCTGGTCTTACAAGGAATCCAGCAATGTCAATTATATTTTCCTAACTTTAGTTTGAGGTTATCCCACACATCTCCTTGGGACGGTTGGTGGGGGGTGGGGGGGGGGAGGGAGGGACCGACCGACCATCTGTTAGCCGGCTGTGTAGTGTGAGAGGGGGAGGGAGTTGAGTCCATTATTTGAATGGACATTAACTTGGCGACTGTATTTCTCTATTTCTCTTAAGTATTAATTGTGTGCATGTACCATCATAAAATTAAGATGTTATTTTTACTACAACATAGGTATGTGCCTTCAAAAAGTGGAGTTTGGGGGTCGGGCCGGTTTCTATTGGAATTAATCCCATATGTTCTGTTGTTCCTTAGCTTGGTTCACTTAGCAGCGGGACCCTCTGGGTTCAATTGACGCGTTAAGTGAACTAACTATAATACAATACTATTATCTTAATATTGTTTTTACCCAAGATTATGCAAACTTTCTCCGCCTTTGTATTAGGTATGATAATTGCGTTGGGGGAGAGTGTAGTGGTGTTTCCTTATTATTATTCACTATTATACTTAAACAATATTATAAATCTTTGGCTAATAATAGGGACAGAAAGATAAATACTGATAGGCAAATGAGTTTTTATTAATATTTGATATTTTTTTGGGAGGTGGGTGTAAGGCGAGTGCTGTTTTTGGTGATCATTAACTTGTTTTACTGTATTAGCCCAAAATAAAAAGAAAATTTTGCAGAAAAAGTGATTATTGTTGGTGTGAAGATCAAACACCTGTACATCACGGTTAGTTATTCTCATTCAACTCGCGATAAACTAATAACTATTCACAGTACTAACTTCCAGTTTTCACTGTTCACTAGGAGGGGGATTGAGCTGCACAATAAAAAAAAGATAACCCTCTAGCTTAAAAAACAACAAAGTTGTGGTTGTTTGAACTTCAAAAAAATTTAAACGTGATTTTCTCTGCTTTTTAAATTTGGCGCTTCACCCGCTTGTAATGCCTCATATGCTATTGAAACCCCAGTTGCTGCTGCATTAGAGATAAATCCCTTTGGTATAATTTTGAATCCTTACACAATACAGTGCAAACAAAGCTTACCTTTATTTTATCTTCTCTCAGTAATGGTGCATAATTAAAAATATTAAACAAATTCAAGTTAAGTAACAACTAAAATTTGTCCTGGAATTATTAAGATTAAATGCATAAAAAATATTGCAGCAATAAACATACTTGTTTGATTTTTGAAACTGTGTATTTAACTCTGAGGCACTGACAAAATGAGTAACAATGTGAGAAATTAAGTTAAATATGGTAAAAACTTCCCTGGTAGGTGAGTCCCTGAACCCCCAGCTCTAAAAATAGTTTCTGTTTTTTTTTCAAGATCCAATCACTTCCCTGCATGCTAACCTAACCTAATATAACATAACATAACATATATCCAACCTAACCCAACCTATCCGAACCCAGTCTCATCAAACCTAACAAACACAATTTAACCTAACCTACCCAGTGACATAATATAACCCAACCTAATCTAACTTAACCTAACCTAACATAGCACAGTCTAATCTAATCTAACCTGACCCAACCTATTCTTTCCATTTAGCCTTAGGGAATTAGATCATCAGGTGAAATAAACTTGGGTTCCTAATCTTCATGAGAACCAATTTTTTTGTTTGAAGATATTTTTGTCTTGTAATTGGGAGAATATAAAGACAATATAGGCATCCCTCATTATGCAGATGAGAAACATTCCTGAAAACTCGATCATGCGAGTACAGTGTATAGAACAGGTTTTATCCTGGTCGTAGTGAGGTTCCAGGACTCGGTCAAAGTGGGAGGCTTTCACCCAAATAGGCCCAAAAATAATGGTACAGTCACCTCTCAATTTACAGATTTAATTTGCATAGTTCAGTACCTCATTGCTTTCCTACTTTACAAAAAAGGAAAAAGTAACATCACCTGAACCTCAACCATTAACATCTGGCATCTTGAAAGCTCCCACTTCTCCTCCCCATCACCTGCTCTGTCATCTGATTCAGATGACTCCCTCCCCCAGTAACCTCTCCTCCACCACCTCCACCAGCTCCCACACACCATCCCAGCCATCATTCATCATAAGTGTTAGCACAAATTTTCATGTAAAATCTATTTTCTTGCTACTGTATTATTAGGTTTACTTTTGTTATTGTATTATTATTATTATTATTATTATTATTATTATTATTATTATTATTATTATTGTTGTTGTTGTTGTTGTATTATTATATTGTTGCAAATAAAATATATTGAAGGAAATAGATAAACGAATTACAGTTTTAGGGAACATTTCCCCTAACCCCTGCCATTTCCTTTATTTCTTGCGGGATAATTAAGTTTGATTTACACAGCCATTCTCAAGATCGTAACTTCCGTGTAAATCGAGAGATGGCTGTATTAATACTCTCTTGGTCTTGGACTCACTGGTTGCATCCTCCAGATAAAATAATTGTATTAAAAAACTATTCTTTAAGGATGCATGAAAATTAGATCCAATCCAGGTTGTAACATGAAGATCCATAGTAAATGTATCTTACGTCTGGCACCCTCTTGGGCTTTACCTGGGGAATAATTTTATTCAAATTCAGTCAGGTTGTGACCTTGAGTGAGAAGAGTTAGGAGACATTTAACCCTTAAAGCCCAGGCAACGTTCCTCTACATTCACTAAGGCGACTCCGGGTGACGTTGCTCAACGTTCTTAATTTTCTCGGCATATTGTAAACGTCCAGACGGGACAAAATACTTTGTACAGGTTATGGAATATTTATTTACTTGGCAACTCAACTCACACATAATCGTTGTCTCAAGTCAAATGGTCCAGTTACCCACCAGTTTCCGTAATTGGTTCCTTGTGCTGATGTGAATTTCTTGTTGTAGGAACTCAGGTTTAATAAGGACTACCTGTACTGGGTACAGTATATAAAATTAATAGTTTTATACTGTATCCATTATTTTACTAAATATTTGCAATAATATATACTGTATATTTTTAGTTTGTCATGAAGAGAGTTATGACATTGATATTATTAAATACGCTTTATCACTTACAGGCTTCTGCATAATATACATCTTAGATGGAGTGTTTCGGGAACAGGCATTTGAGATTCTGGCCTTTGTGGCTTCATGTGCCATCCTTATTATCTACGTCCTGCTAAACTTTGTCAAGGAGTCCCAGTCCACATCGGATGTATTCAAATTGGTAATTGTACATACTGGTGCTTTATTATGTTGTATAGTGGTTTATTGACTCTTTTGTAAACTCTATACTGTACACTATTGTATCTTAGTTGTTAGTAAGAGGGAAAATATTGACAGGTGTCTTTAGGTTATCTCATATTCTGAAATATTGTAGACTTAAGAAAAACAGGGACTGTGAGACTCAGTGGACTAGACAACACATGTTGTGTGCCAAGAAGCTTATAAATTTGACTCCAGGGATCCCAGGAACCTTATCTTGTGTGACTCAATTGTTTTAATAAATCCAGTGAAACTACAGTATATACCTAGAGATAGGATCCTGCTTAGTTCAGCTACAGCCCCATTAAATACAAGTAACACTGATGAACCAGTCTAAGGCAGTAGCAGTAAAACTTTGCTGCTGCACCATTTTGCTTGTTGCTCATGACCCAAGCAGCCTTTCAATGGGGGCTACAGGCTCCATCACCACCCGATTCATTCTTCAACTGTTTGAACATATCTCATATGGGTGCTCCTGAATTTGCTATTTTTCACCAAAGGTTTAATAAAGATCCTTTTGATTTTGAAGAAAATTTATTGATAAACAGACAGATGGACAGTAAAAAAGTATCTCACCCTGCCCATATCATAGTCAGTAGAGCAATGTAAATATGAACACAGTACATAAACAGAAGGATAGATGACTGAGAATGGATACCAAAGACTATCCTTTAATTTACAGGTTCGTCTTGTTTTGACATTGATATTTGGCAGCAGCTTGGGAGTAATCGGGTTAATCCTTGGATACAATTACTGGCAGTCTGAGAACCTCATCTTCAGAACTGTAGGGGCAGACAGTACCATCCAGGCTATGTGTAGAAATCTCTTCACTGCCATAACTCTCATCTTGTTTGACACTCAGATAGTGGTAAGTTATTATTATTATTATTGTTGTTGTCATATTATTATTATAATACTGTACAGTGGTCCCTCGGTTAACGAACACAATTCGTTCCAGAAGGTTGTTCGTTAATCGAAAATTTCATTAACCGAATCCATTGTTTCAATGGGATATTGGGTAATTGGTTCCAGCTCACCGAAAAGTACATACAGAGTAAAAAAAAATGCAGTAAAGTACACTTACTTTGAGGTGTGTATGTAGAAGGCTCCTGGTTGATGATGATGATGGAAATTAGAAGTGGGGGTGGAGGAGAAGGGAGAAGAGAAGGAAGTGGGGATGGAGGAGAAATCACCTTTCAGGGGACCCATGCTTGATGCAGTAATTTCACCCATAAAATTTTAAGTTCACTAAGTGTAATTCAAGATTATTTTCTTTAAATCAATACTGCACTGCGCTATATATTTTCAATGACCAATAATTGTACTGTAAAAATGTAAAAATACTCTGTGTTCAAGAGAGCCACAAGCAAGATGTTTCCTCCACTGAACAGAGACACAAACAGACGCCTTGGTGGGTGAGTGAAATGGCTGATGGGCGCACCAAAAACTAGTTCTCTGTACTGCAATTATGTTAAATAAGTGTTAAAATGACTAATAATTTTAATATAAAACTTGGAAAAATGTTGAATAGCACAACCTTCTTGATATTTACTCCAATGGGAAATAATGTAAGCCCTAGAACAGATAACTGTATTGGCGGACTAACCTACCAGCTGATGAGCAAGCCAAAACATGTTGACATGTTTTCGTAAGAATTTTGTTAATCAAATTTTTGTTCTTTAACCGAATTGAAGATTCTTATGGAAAGTAATTCGTTAACCGAAATTTTGTTAACCAAGGTGTTCGTTAACTGAGGGACCACTGTATAGTGAAACCTCAATCTAACGGACTATATTAAGAGGAATATCTTTTATATCGAGGGTCCGTTTCATTTGAAACCTCAATCTACTGAACTATATAGAGGTGAAAAGTCCGTTATATCAAGGGTCTGTTAGATGAGAAACCCCCATCTCACGGATTATATGGACAGGTTTTTATAACAGGTTGATCAGTGTTCTGATTTTATACCACTGAGCCATAAACTGTGACACCAAACCAGTGTATAGTACACTGAAGTTTCATCAGAATGCTTTGACAGGTGTGCTGAATATACACTGACAGATCCTCTTAACTACTGTATATGCAGTACTGTGGTCACATTAAAATATCCAGGACAAAAAAAATATCAACAAACAGTGACATGTATTTAATGAAATACAGTAGGTAATGTAGCAACAGCAGGTTGCCTTATTTGGCACAGTACAGTTATGAACAAACCCTTAAATAGATGTGTACAGTGTGCCTTATGAACTCTCATATGGCTGCCCCAGCTGACTCTCGGGGGCGCGCGATTTAAATTTTTGCTGAGACCCAAATTCATATAGGCGGGGAAAGCTTTCATAATATGAAATAGTGGTGTCAATTTAAGAAATTCGTATAAGCAAATTTTCGTATCACGAACGTTCATATCTTGAGGGATACTTGGTATGTAAATTTAGGTACAGTAATTGTCTTGCTACAAAAAATGCAAGTTATGAAAATGAATCAGACAAACTTTGATAGCTGTGTTGACGGGTTGAGAATTGACCGGGAGTTGAGAGTTGACCAAGAGTTGAGAGCTGACCTGGAGTTGAGAAATATAACATTTATATTGGGTTTGTTTATTTGGATCTAGAAAAGCAATAAAGACGGTGAAACTAAACCTAAAAATTGGGGATCAGGGCTGGGGGGTGGGGGGATGCCATAGAGTCAAAGGTTGATCATAGGGGGCATAGCTCCAAAAAGATTCAGAACTGCTGATCTTGTATCTGTGAGGGAGAATCGTTGTTTTTCTCTCATTTCCAAGGTAATGGCTGCAGTAGGGGAGGTAACCCGAATGTACTGTTTGTCCCAGATACTGTTGTCAGGTCTCCTTGGTATAGACCAAGGGTAAAGTATTAAGCTTATATTTGAGCCACCTAGTGAAGGGCAGCTGGCCACTTAAATATTTTTGGTGGTTACTGTATACAAGAATTTCTGGGGTCGAGGAGTGTATGTCTGTATTTCTCATTAGAGGTTAACTTCAGTAGAGAATGGTTCAGAGTAAAACCCAACACCATTATTGTGTGAATGTCACCAACATTGGATTTTGCCATTTCTGAGTTCTTAAGAATATAGTAATCTGAAGAACATGCATACTGCACTGAACTTACAATATTTCCATGTGTGGGTATGGTAACAGATATCTCTAACTAATAATTTCCCAAAATTGGATGTCTCCTCACCTGGAATGTTGCAACTTAAATGAAACATATGTGACAGAGAGAGAGTCTTATTTAAAAACTGTTTCTCTCATATTATTTCTACTTTCCTCAGGGCAGCGTAGTGATCCTGTCACTTCACGATGGAATTACAAAACTTGACCTGGAGGAGATAATGATTCTCAGTGTAGGGCCACCATTGCTACTGGTCTGGGCGATCATAACGTACCTAGCGGTAAGACTTCACCTCACCCTTTATACATTTTGACACAGCAATAGTTAATACAGATAGATTCTTCTTAAAAATAATGAAAGTGCATTTTAATTCTAAAGTGATTTAACTAGGTAGACTTACCTATCTGTTATGTTATGGTAATTTTTTCTATCCACTGCAGCTTGTTGTATATGGTAACTAGATTTTGGATGTCGTCCTATACCCAAAATTGTGCTAGATACATTTATTACCTTTGCTGGTCATTACTCATACAGTCTTGCCATATAGTTTATTGGTTCTTTTGTTCATTGATTCTACTGGTCAGTATTTACCAAGATAGCATGTGAGGCAGTAGGAAAATATCACACTTGGGGCATTTCAATATATCCTTCTGTACATAGATTATTAATAGAAATTTATTTGGTTACCAGGTTTAGAGGAAAAGAGAAGAAAAACAAAAAAGGCCAATAAAACAAAAAAGGGCAAACAGTATAATTTGCCACAAATATGAGGCAACAGTATGTGTGTCCAACTTGACTTAGAAATTAATCACTCACAAAAATTTGAATGAAGATACTGCAAGAGAAAGGGTGAGAAGAATCAGGAAACACTAGATGGATGCCAAGGATAGTGTGTAGGGGGAGGGGAAGAACCTTGTGTACAGCTTGAGTATAATCTTCACATATAAATTGTGTCTTATACAAAAACTATCTCCGAGCTGTGATAGTTGCATTACCATGTGTAGATTAGATATGATTATTTACAGTGAATAAGATCAGACATATAACTACTGAGAATTGTAAGAAATGTAAAGCACAAACCAAGAAATGGAGACTTCAGACTTGGTGTAAAGGAAGAACAATTATCATGGACTGGATTTTATTGGAGTAGAATAACTCTTTTTCTCACACGATTTTAAAACTTTAATTGATTCACAGGAGTTGTTGTGTCTTTCAGTAAGTAAGGTCTGGTTTTCACATTTAGTTCAATTATGTGAAATTTATGTTTCACAGTTGGCTCCATTCTTGAGTCAGAGGAAAAATGAGGTGTGGTCTCATTCTCCTGAGAGTAAAAAAGTTATATGTATGGGTCTTTCATGAATACTTTAGTCTTATGATGGGTTAGGAACCGTAGTTTTAGGACATGAACCTGTTGAAGTTTATTATGTAAGAATTGTAATTCATCTTGTTTGACTTGGTTTCATTACAGTACAGGGATATGAGGTAGAGTTTATGCATTAGATGTAGAGTTGAAGATAAGAGCTTAGTGAGTCATTGTTCATCTAATTCATCAGTAAGAACCATTTAAGGCAGTTCTTGGCTCTTCACCTGATTATATAGTAAAAGGGAAGGTCAAAGTTTTCCCTTTTGTTTCTTACTGTTAATCCAATATTAGATGAGTTTAGTAGGATTGTTCTTCTCCTCCTTTAGTACAGTACAGGTATACAAAATTGTGATATTTTGGCTTTGGTTATAAATGTAAAGTTAACCCTGAGATCTTTTACTGAGTCAAGGTGAACTGATGCTCCTCCATCCTTCCGTTAGTTTAGGAAGGAGTGACTGGATCTGGAGATTGTTGAAAGTGTTCTTAACCATTTGAATGTGAATCCCAAGTAGACACTTGTACAGTTACCCACAAGTACTCATATACACATTAAAGGTTACTACGCCTTAATTGGTCTGGTAATACTGATCAACCCTGTGTCTAGGCATTTAATGAAATTCAAATTACCTCTCATGCCTCAACATCCCCCTCCCCCTCCCCCCCCCCCTTCCACAGCTCCTTCCCTCCTAACTTCTGGCTCGGTCCTATATCTCCGTCACCCCACTGTTTGTTTTGGCCGTAATGACCATCTAGCAGATATCTGCCAGCAAATCAAAACGATGATGCTGACCCCACTGTGTTTATAAAGTCCTCTGGCATTGCCCATTATCCTATTAATATGATTATTAGCTTTCTATGTTTGTCTTATGTTCTCATTATATTAGTTTAGGTATAAGCTAAAAAGCAATATTGCCCCACTACATCAAAGAGGAGAATTAGGGGCTTAATGATCTGGCTTTTATGCCATTGATTGATAGCCATTAACTACAGTGAACCCTCACTTTACGCGGTTAATTCAACCCACAGGGTACCGCGGAAAGTGAGAAATGCGTTAAGTGAACAACATAACATATGGGATTAATTGAAATAAAGACCGGGCCGACCCCCAAACTCCACTTTTTCAGACACAATACCTACGTTGTAGTAAAAATAACTAATTAATTTTATGATGGTATGCTCACACAATTAATAATTAAGAGAAATATCAATAATATTAGGTTTTTTAACATTTACATTAGTAGAAAAGATGGCTGGGCACACGGGGATGGGGGGTTGGTTCCGAGGCAGAGGGCAGATTATTGGCCCTCACCTGTATCACTTGTATCAATTGTATCACACTCCACCACAGAGGCTTGCAGGGCCTCTTTGTCATACCTCTCAAAGTCCATATAAGTCCATATCCTCACTATAATTATCACTATCACCGACTTGGGCCGGCTGTGGTGGGTGGCGGGTGAAGAACTCGGTAATGTTTTGATGACTGGGCGACCTTGTGCGCACCCTGCTCGCGCCACTTACACAACATGGTGGATGGTAGGAGAGGGCGGGAGGTTTGGATCCAAAAATGGCACGGCTCGCCAGCCGCTCTCCGCGTAAAGGGGTACACGCACCGCGGAATGTGAGCATTCTGGTTTCGGCAGGGTACCGCGTAAACGTGGAAACGCGGAATGTGGGACCGCGTAAAGCGAGGGTTGACTACAATAAATCAATCAATCCCTCCCTAAATCGCCATCATTTTTTTTCTCCAAACTTCCTTTCTATTCTCCCACCTTGTCTGTCTGTCTGTACAACAAGTTATCACTTTCTCCTAGTAACACTATGGTTACCCTGGTTCTTTATTAAAGTCGCTATCACACTGGCCAGATTTACCATCGATCTTCCAAAAATCCACTATTTCCGTGGACCATCTAATCACATAAACCTGTAAAGACCAAAGGTCCAGTGTCTCCCAAAACTATGGGATACCCTGAACACCCACGGATGTAACGGTGTCATGTGAGATAAAATACCGGTACAGTACTTTATAGTTTGCTAAAAAATGTATATATAACCCAATGTTTTACAGAATTATTTATATGCTTAGCCAATTTATACTGCCAACAAAGCACACTATAAACATAACAAATAAATAGAATGTTTTCATTTGACTGCTTACTTTGGGCTCTGTATGGCTTGAGAATGCACCACCTATTTTAAAATGTGTTTGCTGGCCGTGAAAAACAGAGGCTGTCCTAATAGCAATACTGTATATATAAATTTCCCAATGCTGTGAGACACCAGTCTGTGAGGAAAGGGATGCAGTCAAGTCGAGGTTTGCTGCCTATGTTGTTTTGGTGGTTGAAGAGAGATGGCCATACTGGGGGGCATGTGATTGATAGACATTGGTATACTGTCATAAGTTGTAATAGCCATCCATAGTTTTCCCACCCCTTCACCACCTTATTTCACAGTCTCTTTATCTGCCCAATCCTGCCTCTCTCCTTTCTGTTTTCCAGCCAAACTCCTCTCCCTCACCCCCACTCCTCTTACCGACATAGGATTATCCTTGACAAACACTTCATATTCAGTTCAATTTATTTGCAGAACTGTGTTCTGCTTAAGGACTAAATAAGAGTCTTATTATGCTTCATGACCATAAATATAATTATAATAAGAAAAATTAAAAAAATTATAAATTAACTATACACACACATGGCCTGACTTGGTCTAGTGCATCTGACTGCTACACTGCTTGTGTTAAGCCTGCTCACAGGGATCACACTGGTGTTGTTTACTGCATATGGTGCGGCAGTCACCAAACAGGGAGGTACTACCTCCTGGGAAGATATTGGAAGCATAATGTGTTGTCTATGGTAGATCTTGCTGCCACATGGCATCACGAAAATTGTGACCAAGTCCCAGGTTGCTCATCTGACTTTCTGCCTCATTTGCACACAATTGCAGGGTCTCAATTGTTTCTCTTACTATTGACAACACAACATACTGTACATATATTGTTTCTCACTTTTGATTTTTTTTTCATTTTGTATTTCTTTATGGTTCTTTATTATTATTGTTATTATTATTATTATTATTATTGTTATTATTATTATTATTATTATTATTATTATTATTATTATTATTATTATTATTATTATTATTATTATTATTATTATAATAATAATAATAATAATAATAATAATAATAATAATAATAATATTTTCACCCCCCAGGCCCCGATGTGGGTCAGTGACCTGTGCCTGGGTGTGGCTAATTCCCGTAAAAAAAAAAAAAGTCACACTGGTGTTGCTTACTGCATATGGTGTGGCAGTCACACTAGTGTTGTTTACTGCATATCGTGCAACAGTCGCAGTGGTGTTGTTTACCGCACATGGTACGGCAGTCGCACTGGTGTTGTTTATTGCATATGGTGTGGCAGTCGCATCAAAGGGGTTAAGAGGTTTGACAAAGCTCATTTATCTTTTGGAAACAGTTACCTTGGCTCAGTTATCATTCTACTTTCAGTGCCAATATTCATATCATCTGAAGACCTTTTACTTTATATTTACATGGTTCCAGATAAGGTTGTAAAGGTAGTTATGTTGGTAATACTCACTGCTATGTTCATGAGCATGTGGTGAACCTTTAAACTTTTGAGCTGATACCTCAGGATAATGAAATGGAATGTTAGAATCAGTTCAGGAATATTAAAGCTCTGAATTTCTTTTATTAGTTCCAGCCAATGTACTGTATGTATTGAACTTGTCAGTAAAATTGGAATTTTCCTGTAGCAAGATACTGTATACTGTACACTGTGTACAGTACTACAACATATGCTTGACTTTGACTGACATTATCCCTTCATTATACAGTAATGCCATAATGAGTTCTTCTTCCGCAGCTTCGGGTGGAGAGCAGTTATCTCTTCACTGTTGCCATGATGCTGAGTCCCTGTCATGTAGTGTTTGTTTTGGCAGCTATCATACAGGTTAGTCACTGTTCCTACCAGATAAATTACTATAGTGTACACTATTGATAAAGATTTAGAATTTATTTGATAACCATATTTATGTCATTGTGTTACTGTTGTATTATTGTCTAAAAAAATATTTTTCTTTTTGTCATTCTATTTTCTTCAATTTTCTGCCTTGTTCTTTGCATTATATGTTAACATGACATATTTACTCCCAATTGGAATTAACATGATATTGTTGAGAAGAGATAACTTATTCTTAAACTTTTATATGACAATACTCTGTAATTCTAACATACAATATAACATGGTGATGTAACACTTAAAGTTTGCCATACAGTATATCATTATGGATTGTATTTTTTCTTCATTAATGGCCAATAGACGGCGCTGAACCAAGATGTGAACCTCATTGCTCAGTGTCGTTATGCTGCCAGCAGTGGCAGTTTGTTGGTCCACATTGTCTTGATAGTCTTCATGATCAAATGTTACCGAAACTTTGGATTAGGACTAAAAGAAAAAGGTAAGTAACAGCTGTCATTTTAATAAATTACAGTACAGTAAGTCCTTTGTTAACATCGTGGTTACATTCTTGTAAACCACGACGTTATGTGAAACAACATTAAGTGGCTCAATTTTTCCCTTAAGTAACTAAGAAATAAGTAGGCTATGTTCCCAGTCTCCATTTGTTCCTATTATATGCATCACAATTAAGACAATATAAAAGTTTGTAAATTCCTGTATATTCTGCACTGTACGTATAAATATACACTACAATAAGTTTTAAATTAACATTTAGTATGATATATTGTACTCACTGATGGCCAAATCTGAAGTGAGTGAGCGGTGGTAGGGAGGGTGGCGGGAATCACTGAGACCCAGAGGGTCATCCACCTTCTCCCACTGCCTGGGGGTAGTCTTGTCCTTCTCCTCCTGCTGTCTTTTTTTGTCCCTTCCCCAAAAATAGCATCCAGTGTTAACTGACTGGTTTGCTTTTTCTTCTCTTTGTATAGTTCATAGTAGCACCAAAGATTCTCTAAGACATTCTGGTGCATTTTAGAGTTATGTTCTCTCTTAGAGTCATCTTCAGCCAGCATATCCAGTCCCTCTTCTAAACGACTGAATGCTAGAGACATATATTTCAATGTCAAAGTTCTGGGGGGTACAACATAGTCTTCATCATCGCCGCCTTCTCAGCCAGGAATTCCGAATCTTTATTAGTCAACTCTTCGGTATGGGAAGCAAGCACCTCATCAATATCCTCACTCATTAACTTTAGAAAACCTGCCTCATGTGCCAAGTTCAGGATGTCACGTTTAACAATGGGACAACATTCTTGAATCCCAAGAGTCATTGAAACACTTTGGCCATAGTTTATGCCACACTCCATTCATGCAACTTTAAGTAACTTCTTCCCATGACTTACCTATGTTATCAATTTCCTTAAGATATCACACCAATAATCCAGGATACTTCACCATCAGTAGCCACAAGGAGTTGATCAAAAGTAATGCATAAATCATAAGCCTTGAAGGCGGCGATGTCGCCCTTGTCCATCAGCTTTATCAAAGATGTCATAAAGGAAAACAACTTTAACATTATCGTGCAAATCACTGAGGTTAGGTGTATGTGCAAGAGTTTTGTCAATGAGAAGGAGAATTTGAAGTCTAAATTCTCCTTAGCACAATAATCCTCCCATGCAGGGAGACTGGCAGAGTTGTAAGGGAGACTGATGCTCCTCAGTGACATTGTACAGCATTACTAGGCAGGCAAAGGAAAGTGTTGCGTGGAGCAAAGTAGTACCGTCTGACTGATAATGTAATAACGATTTTACACAACGTTGTGTGGAGCCTTCATATAGAAATAGTAGAGTATCGACGTAATAACGAAACAACATTAACTGGGACAACAATAGGCAGGGACTTCATGTACTTTATTGCATTGTGATGCCCCCTCCTTTTTCCCTTCCTCTAACAGGGCAATGATGGCATCCCTAATACTCGTTTTCCATTTTATTTGACGTCGATATCATGGTCATACGTCAGTCTTGAACCATCACAACTCTCAACACTTGGCCATTCACTACTTGAGCCTTTATGAAGCACTTGGTATGAGTTGAGCACACACTTGAACTCTAAAATAAACAGAAATACCGTACAGGTTTTGGGACCATTTATCCGCCATGCTTAGGACCTGGGAGTTACTGGATAGGATTTTTGGGGGGAATTTGGAACACCAGGTCTAAAATGTACAAAATATACAGTAAGCCTGCTGTAACTGGCTGTGAAGCCACTGTTCAGATCACTAGATTTACCCCTAAAAGTAACTTTACCTGTACTACACCATAACATTAAAACTTGAAATTGTAGGCATATAAACAGCAATAACAAAAGCATACATATTGCTATATTAAAAACAGAAAAAGAGTAAAAATGATACAAGTCAGTGTACAAACTGCTGAACTGGCCCTTTAGCCGTTGATTCTTAAGGGGTTAATGGGCTGGAACATGTAAAAGTATATAGGGTTTTAGTCGCGAAACCCTACTGTCTTTCTTCTATTTATTAAGAAAATATATTATATACAGTTCCAAGTGTATATCACCATAACTTATCACTGTAGCTGTGAGTGTTAAATGAGGATGGAGGTTATGTTAAATAGCTCTGCTAAAACACTTCCTGCTTGTGTGAGAGGTTGAGTGAGAATGCCTAGGAACCCGTCGAAGGAAGAACGGAAATATATCCGACGTCCTCCCTCAAAGGAAGACGGAACCATCCACGATGGCTCTCAATAATGTCTTCCTCTAGTCAAGGATATCAAATTACTGCCTGCATTAAGTGGCCAGAGAGCCAACTACTTAATGCCTTAGCTCAGCACTAAATGACGCGACTTCCCGTGGGCACACCTTAACACGTTCTCTGAACAAGCTATCTCATAGCTAGTGGAAAGTTACAAAGAGTGATAGAGTACAGTATATAAATCTAATGTAATTAACCCATTTATATAAATACTTCTGCCTATAAGAAAGGGGCTATTACATCGCTCCGGCACACTTTCCAAGCTCCTCGAGGAGTAAAGTAAACTCACAGAAAAACCCTATACATATACCTAACCATGTTACATGCATATGTTTGTAAACACTAAACTGGGGAAGCTGACACCTGCGGTTGAACAGCTACTCAAGCCCTAGTCTGCAATGCTTTATGGGGAGCATATTATGTACAATGGCAAAATTGGAGGATTCTGACTTACAACACAAAAATATTACTCTATAAATGTCACATTTGCAGTTTGGAAAGATGTGTCTATGACATCATGAAAATTAAAAACATTGTTAGCTTGACATATTTGCGGTTTAAACATTATTATGAATCTATCATATTTTTAGTTTGAAAAGATGTGTCTATGATATTAACATTAATATAAAACTTTAATATTTGTAGTTTGAAAATTATTAACATTATTTACCTTCCTGGGAAAAAAATCCGCATTTTGTACGTCTAAAGTTTGAAAAATAAAAACTGGAAATTATATAACATCAGTACATATTAAAACAAGTAAGACACTTATAAAAAGACTATAACCTACACGATGACTAACGTGTGATGATATGGTGTAGAAAATCTTGCTGTGGGTATATATCTAATGTATACCTATAAAAATACCAATTCCTTGTAGTATTGATTGAAGAATCACTTCTAGAATTTCTTGAAAATGTGAAATTGTTGCCGCAATCCCGTAGACTTGCGTGTGCCATTCATAGGAGACGCAGCTGATGCTAAGGTTGGTGACTGGGTCAATGTCCACGAAAATCCTGAGTACAGCAAACTGCTGCTCCCTGTCAGTGAACTCAAGGACTCTGGGGTTCACTGGGTACACTAGTGCATCCACCACACCATACCTCAGAATGCTGAGACCATCTCTCGTGGTCAGAGATGTGTCATCACCAGAGGGGTGCTGGTAACTGTGGGTTACTCACGCCATACGAAAGAATTTTGTTGACAGGATGTTGATTGATGGGTAGTCACAACAACTGTAGTCACGTCCTGTCACACCCTGGGTAGTGAACGAATCATTTGCAGAAACTAATGTTCACTTCAGCTCACAGGTTTGTTGCCATAATTCAGCAACTATCAATAACTCATGAATGGTTATTGAGAAAAAGAAACTTGTACACCTCTTTAGATGACAAAATAAAAATCACTAAACGCAAAACGTCTCACGACGGGATATTATAATACACTTTGGAAGAATATAACACGTCACTGTGTACTCTTGTTTTTTTTTTAAACACGTATGACTTGTTCTGTAGAATGTATATATATTAACTGGAATATTGTTATCCGTTACCACTTTGCTGCCACCTATGAACTGATTTCTTTGATCGTTGGTTGGTGGTTGGATGTCTCTTTTCTTTATTTTTGACACCACCACGCTGGAGCTGGTAATAGTAGCTAGGCTCTTTTAATATCACAGGAACAGGGAGAATAAATATATTCTCTACAGTTCCAAGTGTTTATCACCGTAACTTAAAAAAAAAAAAAAAATCAGGAACAAAATAAAAATTTTAAGTTTCTATAAAAAAATTTCACACTGGTCTCAGATATGGATCTGGTCCTTTTCGTTGTCACTTATGAAATGTTCTTCATCCACTTATAAACTCAAGGAACTAGACAGTCTTACATGTGCTGACTCTCAACATATGTAAGTACAGTACAGTACACCACTGCAGCAATAAATCATTTGTATTTTTGCTATGTGGTGATAGTAGGTGGTCAGGTAACTAACAGCTGTGAGATTGAGAATATGTACAATTACAACTTTCGTTTGTACTGTACAGTACTGTATTACATTTACTGGGTAATTATTTTCTATCTATTATGTTTCAATACCCCCCAAAAAAATCTCTTATGATGCATGGCTGCAAAAATAACAAAATCATTTGAGGACATCAAGTCATGAGCGTTATGATTACCAGTGCCCTACTATGACTGAGCGTGACCTGAGACACATAAATTCTTCATATTTTTCATTTGTTATTTGATTTATTATACTGTACATTTAATAGATATTATTGTCACATTATTTCATTATTTATTAAATTCATTCCTGATGACTATGAGGAGCTCCAGACCATAACCTGCTAAGAGCCATATATCCCTGAAATGTGTTATGTATTGCATTGTATTCCCCAGCCTCTCCTCTGTCCCCCGGGTAAGTCAGAGAGACAATTGGGAACACGTACATGTGGGTGAGAGTTCTCTGAAAAGACTTTTATATACAGTTGTACCCCACTTAACGCGGTCAATAGAACCCGGAGGGTCCCGTGTTAAGTGAAATCCGCGTTAAGTGAACAACAGAACATATGGGATTAATTCCAATAGAAACCGGCCCAACCCCCAAACTCCACTTTTTGAAGACACATAACTATGTTGTAGTAAAAATAACATCTTAATTTTATGATGGTACATGCACACAATTAATACTTAAGAGAAATAGAGAAATACAGTCGCCAAGTTAATGTCCATTCAAATAATGGACTCAACTCCCTCCCCCTCTTCTCACACTACACTGCCGGCTCTTCCCTCTCCGAGAAATTTTTGGGGGAAAACCACTAAATTTTAATAAATAATACCTCAAACTAAAGTTAGGATAATACAATTGACATTGCTGGATTCCTTGTAAGACCAGGAATATTTTGAATATAAATGTCATATATTTTGCACAAAAGATAACATATTTACTAGAGAAAACATTTTATCTAAAATTTGTATGTCTAATGCAAAATATATGATGTTTATATTCAAAATGATCACCAAATTATAAGAATTCCAGCAATGTAAATTATATTCTGGCCGGGTAATTTGTATGAATTTTATGAGCTAAAACAAATATCTTCAGTTAATAAAAAAAAAATATTCTTCAGGACACTATCTGTCAATCAAAGTACCCCACCTTGCCTCCCCCCTCTTCCAACCGCGCGGTCAGTCCCAACCCTCCCCCCACCCCCCACCAATCGTCCCTTCAAGAGAAGAGTGGGTGAAAAAAATAAATTTTAACATTTTGTATTAAATAATACCTCAGATTAAAGTTAGGATAATATAATTGACATTGCTGGATTCCTTGTAAGACCAGGAATATTTTGAATATAAATGTCATATATTTTGCACAAAAGATAACATATTTACTAGAGAAAACATTTTATCTAAAATTTGTATGTCTAATGCAAAATATATGATGTTTATATTCAAAATGATCATCAAATTATAAGAATTCCAGCAATGTAAATTATATTCTGACCGGGTAATTTGTATGAATTTTATGAGCTAAAACAAATATCTTCAGTTAATAAAAAAAAAATATATTCTTCACAGGGTAACAGATGGTCGGTCGGTCCCTCCCTCCCCCCCCCCACCAACCGTCCCAAGGAGATGTGTGGGAAAACCACTAAATTTTAATAAATAATACCTCAAACTAAAGTTAGGATAATATAATTGACATTGCTGGATTCCTTGTAAGACCAGGAATATTTTGAATATAAATGTCATATATTTTGCACAAAAGATAACATATTTACTAGAGAAAACATTTTATCTAAAATTTGTATGTCTAATGCAAAATATATGATGTTTATATTCAAAATGATCACCAAATTATAAGAATTCCAGCAATGTAAATTATATTCTGGCCGGGTAATTTGTATGAATTTTATGAGCTAAAACAGGCAGTCAGGCAGGGTGGCGGGTGGGGCAAATCTAAAAATAGCGTCTCGAGCGGACACTCACCGCGTATATGTGGAAAAAATCCGTGTTAAGTGAAAATTCAGCTCTGGCGAGGCACCGCGTATATGATAAAACGCGTTAAGTGAAACCGCGTTAGGCGGGGTAATACTGTATATGTCTTATATTCTTACCTGAGCATTTTCCTCCAGTTTCTATTTTGGCATGTAACAGATTATGGTCTGGAACTCCTCATGATGTGTGTCAGATAAGGATACAATACAAAGAAGTTCATAACATTACAAGGAATAGGCTTAATGTAGCTTAGGCTAATGTTCAGTACCATTAATTAATTATCATCCTTCTGTTTTAATGGGAATTACTGTCATCCGTGCCAGCATGACCGTGGTCCCTTGGCTGCTGGATAAGAGGTGTCAACCTGTATATCTAAACCTTTTGTACATTCTGATGTAGATTACTGTATCTTAGCAAGTAATCTTAGTGAGGATATTAAATGTTTTCTTGCTGACAGTTATACAGAATTGCATGCTGATGCTGGTAACACAAGGTCTGCATGCTAGTTTTATTTCCTTAGGCTTCTCTCAGTTGAATAAAATTGTCTGGCATTAGCCAGAATAAAATACCTAAGTGTGTTACTACCCTACAAAGGGTAAAGTGGATTTTCATGTTTATTATTAGTTCCATTTTGAAATGGACCCAAGTAACCTTCTTGCAATTGTAAGTTTATGTAAAGTAAATTTTATTATTCAAAACTCATTTAGTGATTTCACAATATATTCTGTGTTCTTGCACATGTCTTTCATTTTCAGTGTACCCAACACAGTCGAGCAGCATTACAGCACAGAGAAGTTTGGTCCAATAGTGTGGGCTTGTGTTGTAGTAAGTAGGATATTAGTAAATGCTTTATTAAATCATTGGTGTGACTTGCTGTATGTAGAAAAAAAATACATAGCTCTGAAATCAATATATTTTAATGTAGATAATTGCCAAAGATACTGGAAGAAGCTTTTTTACCTCTCGGGTTTTTAGCAAAGTTAAAGATTTAGTAACATTTAAATGCTATAAGTTTTAAATTACCACTCCTGTTTATGGTAAATAGAGGTTTTATATACAGTATTGTACCATAATATAGATGTTCTCAAACTGTTTCAGAGGATCCTTTTATACCTCTATTATCCACACAGTTGTGAAGAAATGAGCTGCTCTGCATAGACCAAGGAGCAGAGATATGCATCAAATAACTATATTAATACTGAATACTCTTTCCATATATATATATATATATATATATATATATATATATATATATATATATATATATATATATATATATATATATATATATATATATATATATATATATATATATATATATATATATATATATATATATATATATATATATATATATATATATATATATATATATATATATGGTTGTTTCAAGACAGAAGATGCTTAAGAACAAGGCCAGTTCAAACTTCAATTACCAAATGAATTATATATGAAACATGTGTTTACAGACTGAAATTACATATACTGTACTGTACTGTATGTCAGCATCATCTTGTCCAGATTGACAGTGTTGTTTATACTGGTGCTTGATGAGTGTACAGTGTGTTAAGACGTGATCACTACTGTGCTGTACTCATATTGATAAGGGGTAGACAATGTAAGAGTGTGATAATTAGGTTATATGGGAAATTATATTTTAGTTTTATATATATATATATATATATATATATATATATATATATATATATATATATATATATATATATATATATATATATATATATATATATATATATATATATATATATATATATATATATATATATATATATATATATATATTGGGCTCAGAAACCAAAAAACAACCACAATGTGTTATGGTTGTTTTCAAAATAACCAGAAAGCAAAATTTTGCATTTGGGTTGTATGTAGCCTAACCTCACCTAACTTAACCCAATCAAGACTAACCTAACTCAATCCAAACTAACCTAACCTAACCTATAGCAAAATCTCGCTTCTGGTTATTTTGAAAACAACCACAACGCGTTGTGGTTGTTTTTCAGTTTCTGAGCCCAATATATATACGGGGTATAAATAAACTTGGGGCCAACTTTGATAAGTGTATTAAGTTATTGATATTAATATTCACTTTTAAAGTTGAATGTAGTGAGCAGTGATGATATGTTATACAGGACTGTGTCACAGTTCTTCAGTTTTATTGGTGCTTTCATCATCACTATCATCATCATCATCATCATCATCATCATCATCATCATCATCATCAGGTTTAGTATAGTAAAAGTGCACCATATCCTAGGCCTCAGTCAATGAAATTATTATGATCAGATGTAACAGAGGTCTACCACTTGTGATGCTTTTCTAAGTTTTGATTGTGTTATTGAGGGAACATAAGACCTCACACAGAGATGACCTCAGTATACAGTCATTGTGAGAGACGGCTACCTAGTTTTATGTTCTGTTCAATGCTTCTTATTTATGTACTTCCCAATGTCAGTCAAGTGTAATCATTTGAGAGTTTTACCAATACGCTTTCTTACACAACAAGTACAAGTGTTATGTTTCATCAGATATACCCCCGAAAAATAATATTTATATTTGACTCTTACCTGGTCTTTTTTTCCACTATCTTTTAAGACTAGGTTATGTCATATGAATGCCCATATCTTTCATCATTTATCAGTGTATTAAAATATTCTCACTACCTTCTGTGAGCTTTAAAATCACCATCTTACCATCCTTGTCTCACAATTTCTTCATATAAACCTCTTTCTTACATTTCAGTATTCCAGAAATTATATTAGTTTTTCACACATTTCTGATGCTATACTATTTTTATTTTAGAAGAAAAAAAGCAAGGCCTCATAAGCGTTATACTGTATTCCACTCTATGGTGATATTTACTCATTGGAAAATGCTCACATATATATATATATATTCTGCATTCTGCCAGTCAATTGAACCACGTGGAGTACCGCTATTAAAACGAAGCGTAAATGAAATAACAGAACATATGGGATTAATTGAAATAGAGACTGGAGCGACCCCCAATTTTTCACTTTTTTTCCACGACACTATCGTATATTTGTAGTAAAAATAACATCTTAATTTTACTTAGTGGTATGCACACACAATTAATATTTAAGAAATGCAATTCGCCAGGTTAATGTCCATTCAAATAATGGACTCAACTCGCCCCCACCCCCTCTTCCCACACTCGCTGGCTCCTCCCTCTGAGAAATGTTTGGGTGAAAACACTAGGTTTTTAGGCTTAGGAATAAATAATACCTCACACTATGGTTAGGATAATATAATTGACATTGCTGGATTCCTTGCAAGACTGTGAATAAATTGAATATACGTCATATATTTTGCACAAAAGATAAAATTTTTGCTCTTTCTAATAAAATTCTTAAATTAGATCTAAAATTTGTACGTCTAATGCAAATTTTAGGATGTTTATATTTAAATTAATCACCATCTTACAAGAATTCCAGCAATGTAAATTATATTCTGGCCGGGTAATTTCTATGAATTTTATGAGCTAAAAACAAATATCTTCAGTAAATAAACAAATTATACTTCACCCAGACACTATCTGTCAATAAAAATACCCCACCTCCTGCTCCCCCACTCTTCCCACGCTCGCTGGGTCCCTCCCTCCCTCCCTCCGTACCCCCCACCTTCTCTCCCTACCAGAGAAATGTTTGGGGAAAAACAGTAGGCTTACAGGTTTAGTAATAAATAATACCTCAGACTAAAGTTAGGATAATATAATTGACATTGCTGGATTCCTTCCAAGACAGGGAATATTTTGAATATAAACGTCATATATTTTGCACAAAAGATAACAAATTTTGGTCTTTCTAATAAAATTCTTAAATTAATCTAAAATTTGTATGTCTAATGCAAATTTTAGGATGTTTATATTTAAAATAATCACCATCTTATAAGAATTCCAGCAATGTAAATTATATTCTGGCTGGGTAATTTATATGAATTTTATGAGCTAAAAACAAATATTTTCAGTAAATAAACAAATTATATTTCACCCGCGTAAATGATGACATTTACAGCGTAATTAAAAAATTTCATTCTGGCAAGGTGCCGCGTAAATGACCAAACGAGTAAACAAAAACCGCGTAAATCCAGACTATACAGTCATGCTCCGGTTAACGTCCTAGATATGCTCTCGGAAACGTGACGTTAACCGAAATAGACGTTGTCCGATCATCACATAAACTTTGTATTTATACTTACGTGTATGTAGAATACTATATACGTACATATACACTTTTACTCATAAATCACTACTGTAATGTGATACAGGTGATTAATTTTTATCTCTTGTGCAAAATACATGACATTTATATTAAAATTATTCACTGTTTTACAAGGATTCCAGCAACGCCGGGCAGATGGGGGAGAGAGAGGGTGGGAGCGAGCGAGGGGGCGTGGGGGGAGGGGAGCGGTTTGACAGTTGGCACAGGCCCAGGTCTAATGCGTGTATATTTATCAGTTCTTAAGTGACTAAGCTTCTCTCTTATAAAAAACCAGTGAAATGACCTGGGTGAATATAATTTACATTGCTGGGATTCTTGTAAGATGTTGATTTATTTAAATATAAACAACCTATAATTCGCACTAGACATAACAATTTTAGTACCGTAATCAAATTAGTACATGTACACTCCACCTTGCAGTAAAGTCATGTATTTCTTTTACGTTTCTTTTAGTATGGTGTGTGCATGTAAATGGATGAAAATAAATGAAGAAATTTATGTAAGTCTACCCAAAAATACAGTTGAAAAACTTTATACCTGTATAGTAGAAGTCCAAAAATCCGGACTGCTTGGGGATTGGGTCTGTCCGGATTTTCGGATTTTCCGGATTCTCAGGCAGTACTTTTAAAATTCAAATTTAAGGAGGAATAAAGAAAGAGATGAACAGGTACATTTTGATAGTTTATTCATTAGCAAATATAAGATGCTTCATTCATCAAAACGAGCAGTTTTAAGGAAAAAGCTGTGAATTCTAGAATTTTATTCTTTGCCTTTTTTATATCAAATTGTAGACTTTCCAATGTCGTATGTTTCCATTAGAACAGTATTGCTCCCACCACGTTCTAGTTTCTTAATTATTTCAAGTTTGTCACTCAATTTCAACGTGTTCTTTCTCTTCACACAACGAAGTTTATCTACTTTAGGAGCCATTATTATGGGCTTGTACAGTACTCTGTTAATGGAAAGAGTAGGACTCAAAATTACATACAGTTAACCCTCACTTTACGCGGTTAATGTAACCCGGAGGGTCCCGCGTAAAGTGAATAACATAACATATGGGATTAATTGAAATGGAGTCCAGGCCGATCCCCAAACTCCACTTTTTGACGACACACAACTATGTTGTAGTAAAAATATTATCTTAACTTTATGATGGTATGCACACACAATTAATAATTAAGAGAAATATCAATAATATTAGGTTTTTAACACTTACATTAGTAGAAAAAATGGCTGGGCACACGGGGATGGGCGGTTGGTTCCGAGGCAGAGGGCAGATTATTGGCCCTCACCTGTGTCACTTGTATCAATTGTATCACTATCCACCACAGAGGCTTGCAGGGCCTCTTTGTCAAACTCCCCAAAGTCCATATAAGTCCATATCCTCACCATAATTATCACTATCACTGACTTGGGCCGGCTGTGGTGGGTGAAGAACTGGTAATGTTTTGATGACTGGGCGACCTTGTGCGCACCATGTTCGCGCAGCTTACACAACATGGCGGATGGCGGGAGGTTTGGATCCAAAAATGGCGCGGCTCGCCAGCCGCTCTCCGCGTAAAGGGGTACACGCACCGCGGAATGTGAGCATCCTGGGTTCCGGCAGGGCACCGCGTAAACGTGGAAACGCGGAATGTGGGACCGCGTAAAGTGAGGGTTAACTGTACGTTGTCACAGTTTGATTGCTCGTTTTAAAGTGGCCACCGCGTGGTCGTTTGTTGTTGCTGTGGCGCTCACGCATGCGCACATACACACAAAAGCCCGCTAATTAAAAAAAAAAAAGTGAGTTTTCGAAAAGTCCGGATTCTCGGGTGGTCCGGATTTCTGGCATCTGGATTTTTTGAATTTTACTGTATTATAAAATGTACTACAGTATTGTACACTAATGTACTACAATTTTTATCTCGAGCAAAATATATGACTTTTATATTCAAATTAATCCCTGTCTTGCAAGTATTTCCGCAATGCAAA